TGAATGTGGCAAAGGCCTGGGCTACAGTCCAGATGGTGGAGGCAGAACCAGGGTCACACAAAGACTTAGTATGACCGGGCCCATCAACTCCCACCCCACGAAGGCCTCATGTGGAACGCCCAGGGCAACCCTTTGAGTGATATGCAGAAAAATACCCTCGTCAATTGTGAAGGGTGAACGTTCCAAGGGGAAGAATACTTCTAGGCAATGCTGTGTTTGCACAGTTCACAAAAAAAGGAGTATGTATACATTTGCAAGTTCTGTGTAATGCCACTTCACAAAGGGGAAAGTTACCAGAAATATCACACCCTCAAGCACTTCTAGGAGCATTGGTAAGTGTTCTCCAAAAATTTTATTTCAAAAAATTAATTTTATATTAATTTTTAAAGTGAACAGTGCACGAGTTAGGGTAGTATGTTTAAAAATGCCGATCCCCAGGGTGATTTAAATATTTAAATCCCCCTGGGGATTGGCATTTAAATATTTAAATCACCGGTCCGCGAAGTGTTAATAAAGCAGGAGTAGAGTGAACACTGATTCTTACTTATCATTTGATCTATGGGAAACTGAAAATAACAGGTTATGGGCCCAGGATCGTATCATTCATAAGTGTAAAAAGTATAGAAGTGAGAAGTGTTATTTAAAAATGATCCTTTGGACTGACGCCACTATCAAGACAAAGAAACAAGTTTCATCATGGCCACTTCGAAGCCCTTCACGAATATTGATAGGCTCAAAGGATGCGAAAATTATAGAGAATGGTGCTTTGATATTCAAAATATTCTAGTGATTGAAACTGTGTGGTCAGCAGTCGAAGGATATCCTGCAGAAGACACAGCGCCAGTATCCATCAAGAAACAAAAGGACGAGAAAGCAAGAGCCATCATTTGTCTGACATTGGAGCCCAAAGTTAAACCTTACGTCGTCCAGAAAACTACAGCAAAGGAAGCCTGGGACGCGTTGGAAAGAACATTAAAAGATCAGGGAGTCAATAGTTGGATAAGTATTTTAACTGATTTGTGCTCTTTGAAACTTGAGGACTATAAAAGCATGCAGCAATATGTTAATGCCTTCATGTCAATAAATCTTAGATTATGAAGAAAGCAGTCTTCTGGGATTTGGCACCGTGTATATGTGGTGTTAAACGACGTTTCAGAGGAACGTCAGGTAACACCACATATACATGGTGCCAAATCCCAGAAGACTGCTTTCTTCATAGTCACCGCCGTGAAAGCCTCAAATCTTAAATCTTAGATTAGTCTCAGTGGACAAAAAAATAGAAGATGAGCTATTAGCCACATTAATGTTAAAGGGTTTAATTAAAGAGTATTATCCCATGCGTATGGCGCTTGAAAACTCCAACGTAACTTTGACTAGTGAGCTCATTAAATCTAAGCTATTGCAAGACACTGAATTTGGTAAAAATGCAAATTCAGATTCACCCTTTCTGTCCACATATAAGTTTAAACGTAAACCACCAAAATGTCAAATTTGTGGTAAGCTAGGCCATATAAATAAAAACTGTTGGTTCAAAGATAAGGATAAGGCAAACAATAAGAATCATAACAATCAGCATAAGCAAAAATTTAAGAGCAATCAGTCTTCTAAATCAGTTAATAGTACTGATGAAAATAAAGAAGGATCCGATCATAGGTGTAATGAAAATAAATGGAAAAATAAGACCAGTAAAAGATCCATGTATATGGTGTCTGCCCATTGTGTTAAGTTAAAGAGAACACTTGGGTAATAGACTCTGGTGCTTCACACCATATGACCGGAAATCAGATTATTTTGCAAAATTATAAAGCGCATGATTCTAAAGAACATGAAATAACCCTTGCTGATGATAACATGTTAATCAGTGCAGGTTTTGGTGATGTAAAACTAATGAGTGATAATTATAGCCATATCTCAGAAGTATTGCATGTACCGGGATTGTCTACAAATTTGTTGTCTGTAAACTCAATTGTAAATAAGGGTACAATTGTGTTATTCACCAAAGACTGTTGCAACTTATATGATTCTGATGATTTTGAGGCAAGAGGCAAAGTTCTTGCCAAAGCATATCCTAAAAATGGGATTTATTGTTTAAATACCAAAGCTAACATGACCCAATCTGCAAATATAGCAACTAAAGATAAGATTAATAGCAAAGAGAAAAATGACAAATGTGAAAAATCTTGTATTAATACTGTAAAGAATGAACAAGTTGCAAGTACCCAGCAAGTTGATGAACAACTATTGTGGCATAGGCGTTTGGGGCGTTTAAATAGGTTTAGCATGCAGTTGCTAAAAAAAGGTTTAGCTAGTGGCGTCGATTTTCAAGAACAAGAAGATCAGTCAAAGAAATGTGTTCCATGTCTGGAAGGCAAAATGAGAAAGAAGCCTTTCCTACAATCAAAGAACAAACGGTCAAAAAGAGTACTTGATCTATTGCATTTAGATCTGGTTGGGCCATTTGAAGTACCCTCTTATGGGAATGCTAAATATTTTTTGACTATTGTGGATGATCACAGTAGAAAAGTCTTCATTCGCTTCTTGAAACAAAAAGGTGACACATATGAAGCCTTTAAAGAATTTATAAAAATGATTGAGACAGAAACTGGATTGACAATAAAAGCTGTTTGTTCCGATAATGGTGTTGAATTTTGCGGCAAATTATTCAATGACATGTTAAAGCAAAAGGGAATCAAAAGGGAATTCTCTGTGCTGTATAATCCACAACAAAATGGAACTGCCGAAAGAGCTAATCGCAGCATTTTGGAAAAAAACAAGATGTATGTTGTATGATTCCGGCTGCAACAAAAGATACTGGGCTGAAGCAGCTCAAACAGCCATATATCTTTTAAACAGATCATCTCACAAGAAACTAAAGAACCAATTGCCTGAAGAAATATGGACAGGAGAAAAGATTGATCTCTCCCATGTAAACATTTTTGGATGTCCAGCGTATGCACATATACCATCACAGAAACGCCAAAAATTGGATGCTGTGAGCAAGAAATAAATTTTTATAGGATATAGTGAGCAAAGTAAAGCTTATCGGTTATCAGATCCCCGCAATCTGTCTCAAATAATTGTGGCAAGAGATGTAGAATTTCTGGAAGAAGATATAACAAACAAGAAAGAAAGTGAGAAAGGATTTCAGCTTAAAGATATTCTTCCAATGTCGATAAGTTTCTACCTCGACTCACAAGATGAAACAATGATTCCGCAAGAACAAACCCCTGAAGAAGAACAAACACAAGTAGAAGATGAAGGAAATGAAGTTCTATTAGAGCCAGATGATTTAGAACAATCACAAGGAAATTTGGAAGAAAGAAGATATCCACTTCGAAACAGGAAACAGCATTTCCAGATTTTGTTACTTACTTAGCCATGCATAAAGATGAGGAGTCAGAACCAGTCACATATGAAAAGGCACTGGCAAGCTCTGATAAATCTAAATGGGAAGAAGCCAATAAGAAGGAATTAAAGGCCTTTCAAATGAACAAAGCATGGACAGTAGTGGATAGACCGTCAAATAAGCCAGTAGTGAAATCAAAATGGGTCTTCAAAATTAAACGAGATGCTGAAGGAAATGTCGCATGTCACAGAGCTCGTTTAGTGGCGAAAGGTTGTAGCCAAACAGAAGGAATAGACTGTTTTGAAACTTTCGCTCCCGTGGTGAAACATTCTTCAATGCGATTGTTATTTGCTTTAGCTGCAAAGCATGATTGGAACATTGACCACCTTGATGTCTGTATCACATTTTTAAACGGAGATCTTGAAGAAGTTATATATATGGAGCTTCCTGAAGGATATGACATTAAGGGGGAGTCTAATAAAGTTTGCAAATTAAGAAAATCAGTTTACGGACTGAAACAAGCCGCTAGGTCATGGAATAAGAAAGCAACAGAGGTTCTAAAAGGCCTAGGGTACAGGCAAACTTGTTCCGAACCATGTATTTATACCAAACAAAAGGGTAATTCTATAATTAATATAGCATTGTATGTTGATGACTTCTTCATATTTCACAATGACAATGTTGAATTTGAGAATTTAAAAGGAAAATTGCAACATTGTTTTAAAGTCAAGGATTTGGGACCAGTTAAGAAATGTTTAGGAATGGAAGTGAAAAGAGATAGGGCAAAGAGAACTATAAAGTTGACCCAAACTCAATATTTGAATAATGTTCAAATTATATTATGTTATGTTGGCAACTCTCAAATACTGAAATATAATGTTAGAGTTGGCAACATCATTGTAAACAATTTAAGAACTAGGTTATTTCTTGTTACCTAAATGATGTTTACTGTTATGTGTAACTACAGTTACGTGTGTAACAACAGTATCTTTATATTGTTATGTGTTACTTCTATGTCCAATTTCTGAGTCTTAATAAAGCAGGAGTAGAGTGAACACTGATTCTTACTTATCATTTGATCTACGGGAAACTGAAAATAACAGTTTCATACAGAGAGAGGCATTGATATAAAATTTCTAGATTATTGGTATGCAAGAGCTTTTCCATGTGAGTCATTCAACATTCATCAAGTTTGGCAAGTTTGAAGCAAATACCATAATGGAGAATGTACTTATGGACTACCCTATAGCACCTCAAGAGACTGATGACCTTGGTTGAATGGCATGTATTATGAGAGTTAAGTGATGTTAATTGAATTGATCAGAGAAGTGAGGTCTAGTTTTGAATTGCCAGTGACAGAAGTTGTTGCGCTGAGCACAGAATTGCTTAATAGTATTCAGAGACGTTTCTTGGTTGGGTGTGTGTTGGGTGTGGTAAATTGTCAAGATCTGAATTTCTGTAATAAGAAAGGATGTGGGAACTGTTTTCAAGAATTATAACTTTGTTGACTTGTTTTTCTGTTATAAGAGAATATATTCATTTTGTTGCTGGTGGTGCAAACCCTTCTTCAATATTGTATTTAGGTTCAGTTTTGCTTAGATATAATTAAAATGTCGTACTTCAGTATGATACTTTCTTATGACGGAATATCTATGTGACTCGTGGTTATAAATGATGCAGAAATTAAAGTGTTGAGTAATTATTTCAGTATAGAAAATTTAAGTTACAGTGAGTGAGTGTTTCAACCAACTGACAATCTCTGTTAGCGTGCTGTTCTTAGTAGTTAGATAAAAAATGTGGAAACAATTTTTTATTCGCTTGCAAGCAAAACGTCGTTGTTTAAGTGCCCGTTGGCAGGAACGCTGTGCTCGACGGCGATGGTTAAAGAGAGAGAAACGTCGTCATAAAGTGGAACAGGTTAGTTTTCCTCTTAACATGTACATTTCTCTGTTGTCGAAGTGCAGCACACTTGATGTGTGGGCCGCATTATGGAAACTCACCTTAATATAAGTGGAAAATTGGAAGTGTGTTATTCACCATCTGCACAGAACTAAATGTTGAGTGCTAAATGTAACTAGAAACGGTATGTACTATATTTGATTACATATGACTGCATGTTTCAGATATTTGTTTATTGATCATCATTGGTCCTTTATGTTTTACATGAACTACTATGTTTATGCGACTAGCAAATATTAATGTGTTATTAAGTTTTTGAATATGTCAAAACGAGTAAAATGTAGTTAAAAATTACACAAATACGTCAACTGTCATATCGTTATTAATAATTAATATTATTTTAAAACTATTTTGAGTGCAAATAAAAGTAAATTTTAATTTGTTAAATTGTGTTATTTGTGCCCTGGATGATTATTGTTAATATTTTGTCTTTCACTTCCTCTTCTCTCTCCCTGCCATCCTCCTCCTCCTCCCCCTCCCCCTCCCTCTCTCGCATTGTTTTTGTCTTGTACAATGTGGACAGAAAGTCTCCAATTCGTTCTTTCTTCCCACAGTCTTTCCTTTTCACTTTCTTGCCAGCCCTTGATGTCTCCGAGTACATGGTTAAACTATCATATTCTGGGACATTCTGTAGGTCTCTTTACTTTAAATTTTAATTATAATCTGTTTGTTGGTATCCTCATTCTATCCACTCTGTTTACATGGCCAAACAACTGTAATCCATTGTCTTCTCTCCCTGTTAAGAAATTTTTGATTCCACCTTGGCTACTAATATAATTTCTAATTATGTCCCCTTCATGTTTTTCCTTTAGTACTTTTCAGAAATTTCATATCCATGTTTGGATTTTTTCTAGGGTCCATGTTTTGACATTAGATGTTAGCACTGGTTTGTGACATGCTTTGTAAATTGTTGTTTTATATTGTTTTGGGATCTCTCTTCCATGACATTTCTTTTGTAATGTGAAAAAATCAGAACTATTTGATATTGTTCTGTTGATTTCTACATCAGTTTACAGGTCTGAGTTTACTTTACTTAGCATATAAATTTGTTAATATTTTTAACAATTATGGCATTAAATCTCTACATGAACACGTGTGGGATGCTCTGGCCACTTTACCCCTAAAAATGGGTCTCTTCACCCCTTTGAATGGGTAGTTGGGTCCCAGAACCAGTATGGGCACTGGAGAATCTCTTGTCCCTACCAGGAATCAAACTCAAATTATGTAAGATTTGAGGCTTTCATGGCGGTGACTGTGAAGAAAGCAGTCTTCTGGGCTTTGGCACCGTGTATATGTGGTGTTAACCGACGTTTCAGAGGAACGTCGGTTAACACCACAAATACACGGTGCCAAATCCCAGAAGACTGCTTTCTTCAAACTCAAATTACTTGATCATCCAGCCTGAAGCTTAGCCACTACTGAATGAGCTACGTAGGCTAACATTTGTGATGAGTACAAATTCTCTGACAGATATTGGTAATGTCTGCGCAGGCCATGGTGTTGAATCAGCAAATGTTGCAGCAGAAGTATGCAGAAAATCAGCGCGTACGTGGTGTTCTGTGTGAAGTGGGGGATCCAGAGCTCGATCGGTACCTTGAAGACGAGAGGATTGCTCTCTTTCTTCAGAATGAAGAGTTCATGGCAGAACTCCGGTGGAACAAAGATTTCCTCTTAACACTGGAGAAAGGTGGCACTTTAGTCAAATATATTTTACAATATATTTCTTCTTTGTGCTTGTACGATCAGGCTGAAAAAGCCGGAGAAAGAGAGAGAGAAGAAAATGGGGGGAGTGGGGAGTAGTGATAGACACTACAGTTTATGGGGAGAAACAGAAAAACACATGACCATGAAGGTTTCCAGGCACTACCCACTCATCCATCTGGTATGGGTGGCCTAGGGAAAAGGTAAAGTGACGGGAAGTGAAGAAGATGTCGCTCTGAAAAACTGTTATTTTTGGGTTATGAGCAGAAGAAAATTTAACAGCCTGAAATTTGTCTAAATAATATTTAAAAATTCAGTTCTTACTCACAGAAAACACAGTATCCCAATTACAAAGATCATTTACAAACAAAGGACCATGGAAAATATTTAGACCTAAGAGAGGAATGAAGAATGTTACACAACAAGGAACTTATCCTTCAGAATATTATTACTGTACTTGGGTTGTTAACGAAGGAACACAGCCTGCAACACTGGTTCTGGTTAGCGTGTAAAATGTGAATTTCATAGACAATCATTTTACAGGACTGAATTAGCCATTTGTATGGTGCATTCTGTAATGAAGATGATATTTGAATATTGTTGTCTTGTGGAATGTCATGCCATATGTTCTAGTACATATGTGCTGCACATGTCTTGAGGGCCAAAGATTAAGTAAGGCATACAAAAAGTTATACTGAAATGTGGATCAGGAATACTGGTACTGAGGCACTGAGTGAAGCATTCTTCTTCCCCCATCTTAAGCCCCTCTTAATTAGCTTATGCTTCTCTCCTTAGCTTCATTTCCTCCCTCCTCTTTCTTTCCATCCACTCTCTTGAAATTGGCCTGTTAGGAGCAGTGTTTACCCCATTCTCTTTATTCCTTTTGATTTTCTTAAGTCACCATTCTGATATGCCAGGTCCTGTATCCATAGCACTCTTTTCTTGCTTTGCTTGTTCCACTGTCCTGAAGATTGAGACAGCATGTTATGTTAAACCAGGTTACATTGCATCACATTCAGGACCTGTTAATCATAATCACCTCTTGTGAAAACATCATATGATATTTGTCATTCTGTTACAGACCAAGCAGAGGAAAGTCCACCTGAAGAAACTCTAGCCTCATTTCCACTCAGTAAATCATTATCTGGTAGCCACGATGAGGATGCACTGTTTAAGGAACGCCTTCGTAATATGGGCAAAAGTAAGCATTTTAATGTTGCTAGCAAGGCTTTGTTTATAAATCAGTTTTGATAACATCAAAAATTGAGGTCAGGTGGGTAGCTTTCCTGCTTCTTGTGTGGGAGGTTGAGACGTCAAGTCTTGGCCTGGAGATCAGCTGTCCTCAGGATGCAGCAACTAAATGATAAATGAAGAGATTGTTGAAATGGAGATATACTGTCTATTTGGAAAAGGTATCCAGCACAATATTTGTGAGACAATACATTTAGTGGTATTAGGAAGGAATAAAGTTTGTCTTGTGCAAAATTTAAATCAGCAGTGGATACTCAGTGATGTGTGTAAAATGACAAAGGACACATTTCAGAAATATATTTAACCCACTCTTTGAATTTTTGTTTCACTGTACATAAGGAATTTGAAAGACGAGATTATTACGAGGCTTATTCAAATGAAAACCATTTGGGGATTGTTTTGGGCAAAGGAGAAGAGACCATTAAAAACAGTTCCCATAGGCACTGAGGCTGGCATCCCAGTGATGCATCAGCTGATAGATCGCCTCCACAGAGAACTCACTGGAGTGGTGCTGGAACTACTGTGCCAGTGTGACCTTGATGTCTTTATCTGAACTTAAACTTCAGCAGTGACAGATGACGCTGTATGGGGGATGCTCCAACACCACCCGATACTTGGAGGACAACATGTCCTGGATGGTACACATCTCATGGCAATAGATGTTGTGCAGCATGATTAAATGCCTTGTGAGCATACCAGGACCCTTTCTCTGGATGGCAGTACAAAGGTCATGGATGATATCACTATAGTACTTTGCATTAGCGGTGATATCAGGGGCCTTAAGTGCCAGCATCAACACTTGGACTAAACAGGTGGGTCTAGCGCTAATGCTCTTGACTTGTGTTCAGGAGGTGCTTGGTTTGAACTTTGGCTGGAACACCAGGTATTATGAATGAGGTTTTCTATAGTTTTCCTCAGTCCCTTGATGTTTGGGTGGTATCACAAATAGACCATTACCACTTCCCTCAAAATCTCTTCTGATTCATTAGTCATCCTATCATTTGATGCATTGATTCTGACCTCTGTTAGATAACTAACCAAAACAATCAGTGCTCTACCATCATCAAGAAACAGAATGACGGATTGTTGGTTTGAATGGATTCTGCACCTGGATGCTGTCATTTAACCATGTCACTCTGTTCTCATTTGCCCTAATGCGCCTGTTATGTTGCACAGCATGTGGTTGTCTACTGGTGGGTCCTGCACCCTGCAACAGGCAATATTTGCTGCCAGCACTGCAAGCTACTTTCATTTGAGCAGTCTTTGTGTTGTCCTCTTGACCAACAAGAGGAATTGAAATCCTTACATTGTGTTTTTCCAGTGTCACGTAAAAAATTTGCCCAGCTTGCCCGTGTGTTCACAAGACGTAAGAAAAGGAGCTCTGCTAAAAACATTCTGAGCCAAGGGCCAGCACCATCGCGAGATAACCTGCTGCTCAATGCTGAGCCATTGTTAGACGATGATGATGATGATGATGACGATGACAGCGTACCCGATAGTTATGACACTATGCGAAGACCTGAACATCGTGAATAAAGGTCCATGTAAGTTTCTTATTTGCTGTTTCTTGGACAGGAATCTGATATGGGATGGCAAGTAGTTTATCTATACATATTTTATATGTTAATTCAATTGTTTTAGGGGTTTTCTCCACTTTCATGAATTGTGTGAATCTGTTATTTCAACTCTTCCATAGTTGGCACTGTGTTGTATAAGGGGCAGTCAGATGAAAACGGGTCACCACGCATAACTCACACAGCGCGCAAGTTGGTAACACTGGAATTTGTTTATGGTACAAACATCTGGTGGGGACTCGGGGAAAGCACAGTGACAACGTGCCCTTGTACACTGTCATTTGTTTATTGTGCTGGAAGTAAGGTTAGCGCTATGTGTGGTCGTCCAACATCAGTAATGGAGGAGGGTAAAGAAGAACAGCGAAGTGTAGTGCGCTTTTTGACTGCTGAAGGAGTAGGATGACAAGAAATTCATCGTCCCATGTCTGTTGTTTACAGCAAACACAGCATATCACGTTTGAACGTGCTGGCGTGGCATAAGAGATTCCGAGAGGGACGTGTGTCACTGCAAGATTATGCTCACCCAGGACAGGTTCATCGTGTCATCACTCCTGATGTTATTGCTGCATTGGATGGTCATATCCAGGAAAACCGACAGATCACTGTGAAAGAAATTAGTCTTTTGATGGGAATAAGGCACGGTTCCATACACGCAATTGTGACAAAGCACCTGCTGTACCGCAAAATCTGTGTGCAGTCTGTTCCGCATCAACTCATGGAGGAACAGAAGACTCAGAGAATGGCTGTATCACTGGGTCACTTGCAATGATACCATGAGGAAGAGTATGCTTTTCTGTCCCATATTGCCACTGGGGACCAAACTTGGTGCCACCATTTTGAACCCAAGAGCAAATTGCAGAGCCAACAGTGGAAACACGTGAATTCTTCCCCACTGAAGAAATCCAAAGCCGTACACACAAGTTCCGGTAAATTGATGATGACCTTCTTTGACTGCAAGGGCCCTTTGCTTGTCGAATTTCTCGAGCATGGGGCCACAATCAGTGCACAGCGCTATGAAGACACTTTGCAGAAACTGAGACGTGCCATAAAGTCAAAACGCCCTGGAATGCTATCGAACGGCATTATCCTTCTTCATGCTAATGCGCGCCCCCACACTGCCAACTCTGTGAGGAATGCGCTATAGAGATTTGGTTGGGAAGTGCTTCAACATCCCCCCTACAACCCAGATCTCTCCCCATGTGATTTTTTCATTTTTGGAGACCTGAAGAGAGACATTCGTGGGCATCGGTTTGCATCGGACGAAGACGTGTGTGGCTGGGTACAGATGTGGTTCCGTAGACAGCCCACAAGCTTCTTCAAGGATGGGATTGACGATCTTATCTCCCAGTGGGATAAATGTATTAACAGTTTTGGGGATTACTTTTGAGGTAATAAATGTTCTTTAATATGTTTTGGCTTCTGACCTGTTTTCATTTGACTGCCCCTCATACTTGCCTGCTAACATACAGACAGCTCTAAAATGCTGATGTGTCATTACTGTTGCATTCTTTGCTTAAAACATCTTTGAAGGCACATTGTACTTTAAGTAGGCAGTATTACACCGCTGCCTAGATTTTCAGGGTAGAATGGAAGATGGAAGCACCAGTTTCCTCCAAAATATTGGTACCCACCTCCAAGGCTACATGATGTCATAATCTAGAAGCCCCCAACATAATCCTTCAGCCGTATGAAAACCTTTGAATCTCACACAGTGATTGTGTATAGTATTTTATAAATAAAAATTAATTCTCATGTTATGGATTACAGGCTGTCTGGCTGTTTCATCATATTTACTTCAAAGTGAACTTAACTTACTTCACTGCACAGTTCTTCAGACATATTAATTATATATATAGACTGACATAAATATGACAATTTGTGTGAGCAAATTACATTCAGGGAGTAAGTGGCAAGGCTGGATATCATCTGTATGCCTCAGGCATCGCTGACAAGGATGAAGTATGCTTCGTTTTGTTTACCAAAAGGCATATAGAACAGTTATATATGTTGCTGTGTTTTATTAACCTCAGAATAGTTTTGGGTAAGTGCCAACATCAATATATATCTGCTGCTTCCCAGTATTTTTACTTGAGTATCATTAATTTATTCTGTTACTTATGATAAAATGGCTAAGTAATGCACCAGTGTTACTGTACTGGTGAGATTTTTATCCGAACGTCGAATCAAATATGTATTGTCAGTATACTAAGAAAAGTCTGGCTTAATGATAGTTGTGAATACTTTGTCACCAACTCTTTGATGATCTCAATCGATGACCCATGTTTTGTATGAACACTTGCAGGTAATAATAATATGACTGTAGAATACAGTTTTTGATATGACTTCCTGTTACATCAGGATAAGTCTATAACATGTGGGTAAGTTCAGCAAGGCCATATTCCATGTGTCGGAGATCAGGGTGCTCATGGATGATGCATATCATTGTGGGTGAAATACTTCAGTATCAAAATAGAAAACAAAGTTGGTGGTTCAAGTTTGACCTGTAATTTCTATTGTTTCTCTTAAACAACGATGCAGATTGTTATAATTCATGCACAGTCACTTCATACATCCCATTTCTGTTAACTGTTCCCCTGTACATATGCTTAGTGATGCTACAAGTAGCTGGTAAGAAGATGGAGAAATGATGAATAATAAAAGTTCTGAAGAAAGGAGTCTTCTGGGATTTGGCACCGTGTATATGTGGTGTTAACCCACGTTTCGGAAGAACGTATCGCCTCCATCTTCAGGGTAGAAGGAAAAATATAAGAAATTCGCAAGCGAAGAGACCATGAGAACCAGTAAAAGCAGTTCCTTCTACCCTGAAGATGGAGGCGATACGTTCTTCCGAAACGTGGGTTAACACCACATATACACGGTGCCAAATCCCAGAAGACTCCTTTCTTCATAGTCACCGCCATGAAAGCCTCAAATCTTACAATAAAAGTTCTGGGTGCAAGAAGGCTGACATGATATTCAATAAAGACTTAGAGAGTACACGGATGATGCACCATCATGATATTCTGTATTCACTGACAGCCGTGACACATTGAGCGATCTCCTTGATTGACATAAACACCACTCAGTCACATCAACATTAACGAAACCGAGGAGCTTGCTTTGAGAACTGAAAACTGCCATGTTTCTGTGCATAGAATCTTAGTAGTGAATATAGTGTTGGTGGTGTAGCGACAATCATTTACAAGTAACTTTGCTTTTGAAAAGTCACCGTAAAATGGGTCCCAAAAATAGCAGGTCAAATATGAATTACCTTCATATATATAAAGAACTTGTGACAGCATCTCTGTAGAAATAATGCCATAATATTTATTGTACTTTTTTATATTGTAAATATGAAAGTACTAAGTTCCAGGAATTTCCTAGACTAATAACTGCAAACTGTGAAACTAACATACTAGTTTTCATCGGTTTGCTGCAGTCACCTAATACATATATACATTCTGTTTACTGGCATGTGGGACATGGCATATTATCTTGATGGAGCAAACACCAGAAGAATGTACAGGATGGAGCAAAGTTTGCACTACAGTTTAAGGCTACCTCTATACGAGTATATTGTTTGCAATTTTAAAAAAGGGTTTAAACTGATGATGACAACGGTGCATACAATTTTATGTTATGAATATGGTGTGACCAAGGTCGCAACAGTGCTTACTCGCATGAAAATCTGGGGATGAAAGTCGCTTGCCATTGCAGCTTATGATCTGACTTAAAACTGTGGTGCCACTTTAGCGCCAACCTGTATCATATTTTAGTTAGACACCGAATCTCAGAATTCTGTACTTAGAAACTCAACAGCTTAGTATAAGAGATGAGATTAGCCTTATAATGCTAGTGAAATAAGATGTGGATTATATACGCCTTTCGCTTATTAATATAGCTGGGTGTGCAGAAGACAAGGAGATAGACTCTTCCTCTGTGGATGATAATGACTTGTTTGAAATTAATGCTCTATGCAGAACATATTTGTATTGCAAGAAATTACTTGTTCTCTGAAGGTTGAATGTGTTTGAAAATTATGGATGAATCTATGGTGCCATTTGTACAGTAGATAATCATCCAGCACTCAAATTAGGTTAGCATTACATTATACTGCAGCATCCTGTTCAACTGTGTATTCTAAATTGGCACTTGTACTTCTCACCATCCCTGTGCAACTTTGTCATTGTATTAAAATTTACACTTCAGAAGCACTAGTCTCTTCCTAGTATTCGGACAATACCTGTTTCAGCCCGACTGGCCATCAGGTGTACAAGTTGTAGAGGAAACTGCTGCTCTGTTGTCTGTGAGAAGTGCGAGTGCTAATTTCGGTTAGCATTATTGACATTCATATGTGTATAACTCATTTAGCCAATTCAGTCACTCATGATACTTGTTCTTGTCACACAAGTGATTTTGCCAGAGCTGTAGCTAATGATGTTATTTCTCATCTTTTGGAGTTGTTAACAATATTAGTGACACATGAGAAATTTGGATAAAATACTACTAATCACTCACTGTTAACATAATAGAATATATTCTAATAAGCTTTATATGTGAATCATCAAATAGACAGGAAAAAAGAAATAAGAAAAGAAAAGGATATCATGGTATTTGTATTCTGACAGTGTGACTCTTGGCTTGGTGCACCTGTGCTTGGGTTATCACAGTAGTCTCACACATAGCTGAGGAAGTTGAAGGTAAGAACCAATCATAACATAATAATGCTTATTGCAACACTATGACATTGATTATATGAGGTAAAATTCAAGTTAACAAATTTGTTGTGCTTTTTTTGAACCTGAAAAATTGTTTTCTACAAAAATTGCCAGAATGTATGTCATGATGTTCTCATATTGCAGGTCTATTTTCAAACTTGTCAGGTTTTCCCCTTTTCTTTTAAAATGACCAGTTTTCATCTTCAGTGCTAAAGTTCCAAAGTTGATGTCAGCGACTGCAGGTGAAATTATTTGTAGTGGGCCAGACATCATATGCATATGCTTTAAAGTTTAACTGGAAATTAAGTTTGGTCATACAAACAAGTGAATATTCTGTAAACTTATCTGATAACTTTTCCTTACATAAATATTAAAAGAAATTTACAGTAAAGAGTAATACATGCAATGGAAGTGCTATGTCTCCCCTGTTCAAAGTATCTGTTCATGTATGTATGATACCTTTGCAAGTTTTGTATACAAGTGAAAGTCTCCCTAGAGAATGTATTGGTCCTTGCCAAGTATCATGATTTAAGATGATATTGATATTAGTACTTGATTTATATGGCGTCTTTTCTTTCTGTGAGCATAAACGCAGGTTAAGGAGTCAGATGCTATCCCAGTCAGGTTGGGCTGACCCATAATGCATTAAGTTTGTTTTGCGAAAGCACTATTAAGGAAACTCGCTGTATTTGTGATTGTTCATCTGTCATTATCGTATAATATATTTAATGAAAGTAATATAATCACACTGGTATTCTGTGTTAAAGGAGATTCGTTTGTGCCATACTGACATACCTGATATGGGATACTTGTGTTTTGATAGGTTATAACAAAGATATTCTTAAAGCTATGAACAGTGCTCAATATGTTATGTGCAAGGGTGTATTAAACTTGCATTTATTACTTCCCAGTATAGATATAAAACATAACAAGGAGTAATGGATCTACCCTCTATTTTTACGTGTAACTGCAGAGCAATTGAGGAATTTGCTGCAGCCATGCACCATGTACTGATTAGCGCAGGGAAGAAATTGGGATCAGTGTTTGCATCCATGGGCACAGCTACACTTCCTTCAGGTGTGTCAGTGTTGTAGGTTAGCAGTATGCATTCACTGTTGCCATGTGGTCCAGGAAGTGAAAAAGGAGAATTCTCTGTGCAACCCAAAATGACATCAGTAACTTCCCCACTGACTGCTGGAATGTCTTGTCCATTCACCTTTCAGCCCAGACCTTGTGCCAAGCGATTTCTATGTCTCTTGATCACTGAAGAAGCATTTCAAAGGAAAATACTACTTACATAATAAGATGAAAGCTGAGATGCACCAGCCCTCTTTCTTCTCCTTGGAATCATACATGTGGTGTGTCGCTGGAACAGATACCTCATCTAGTCTGGCAGTTATATGGAGAAACTTGGTGTCTGCCCATTATTCTTTCTTGTTTTAGATGTCTTTATTGAAGTATAAATATGGTTGTAACATACTGTTGAATGTTATTGAGCAGTCTCTATGCCTGATGATGGAAGAGTTTACATTTATGGCTTTCTTTGCCAGTCTGTCTCAACGTTTAGTATTGTGATAAGAGTTAAAATGGAACTGGCAATTCATATGAGCCTTTCAAATGTAGTTTGCTTTGTTGGCATATGATGGACATTTGTGAAGTTTATGTAAATAGATAATTGTTCTCTTATTTTGACTCTATGTGTATGTCCCTTAACTGCCAAATTCAGAAACTTAAGTAGCAGCAAATTTCTGTTTTGTGCTTTATTATGAAGAATTGTTTATCATCATGGTATTCCAAACAGAATGTTTCAGAAACTGAGTCTGTTTCCATACTTAGGTGAAAAGGTAGGAAGGCACCTACTCAGTTGGGCTCATCTGGGATAGCTGATGTCAGTCACTGAATTGATTCTCACTTGAGGACATAAATAGATCCAATTTCCAGAATGTTAGTCAGGCTCTGTTTAGAATACTAGGTGAAAGTCCAGAAACTTACTGATCATAAATTATGGAACTCTATTTTACATTTTGTGTCAGGCGTATTTTGAATTCTTATGGGTAATCAGCTGTATCAGTGTAAAGTTTGTGGCTGATTTTCTAAATATTGTGTAGTCATTTTTTACTTTTGATAGGCTCATGATGGATAATGTTTATAGAGAACTGTGTGCTAGTCAGGACAGAAGATTTCAATGTAAGTTTTCTTATTGAAAGTTTTCAGTTTTGAACAAGGATTCCTTGCTTTATGTATGAATAGTCATATTGTGATGTTAACTATTATTAATCAAAAAGGAAAAGTTGTGAGTATTATTCAGATATTATATTATTATATTATTTTTATGTGATGCTAGATTATGGGTATCAGTTTTCTGATTACATTAATTGTTTTTATATTGTTTATTTTAATATTTTCTTGTGGGTTTTGTGTCCCACAGTAGATATGTTTGTCATTTCTATTTACTTACTTACTTATGGAGCTGAGCCCTTCTTGAGGAGAAACCAAATCTGCAGCTACTCAAGAATTTCCCAGCATTTTATGTAACCCGAAGGTTCATTACCGTGTTCACAAGAGCCCTCCATTGGTCCCTATCCTGAGCTAGATCAATCCAATCCATACCACCCCATCCTGTCTAAGATCTATTTTAATATTGTCCACCCACTACGCCTTGGTTTTCCCAGTGATCTATTTGCTTCTGGCTTTCCTGCCAATATCCTATATGCTTTCCTCTTCTCCCCCATTCGTGCTGCATGCCCTGCCCACCTTATCCTCCTTGACTTGATTGTCATTTTTATACAGTCTCTAAATGACACTCATAAGGAAGGAAACTAAGCATGTCCGTTGTTAAACAACTTAACCAGTATGCCGATGTTGAGTCTCTTGGATTGTAATTCCATGATGTTCAGGACAACCTGATGCGTGGCTTTCACCAGACTGCATGGTGCTTAGTCCCAGAAGATAGAAACTTTTCATAGCTACCAGTGTGATGAACTCAGATGCAAAACTATGG